TAACAAAAGAGGTTTTTTTAAAAGCCACGACCAAATTTATTATTTGAAAACTTTATCCTTCTTGCAACTTTTACCGCTATGTTCGTCACGTTTATTTTTTAATGGATCTCACCAAAAAGTACACTATTTCTCGTAGAATGTTATTATTTCTACGTGCTTTTGTGTTGAGACCTAAATTCATCGAGTCTTTGACCTATGACATTAGGAACTACGAAGAACGAAGGTCTTTATTAATTGCTCTTTCTTTACTCTTTGTCATTATTATTATATAGCATCGAAAGTCATGACTAATAAATTTAAGAATATTTGTAACAATAATCATTGTTTAGATAAGTGGAAATTATTGATGAAGGTTTCCCGCTGTTTTCTAGGTTTATTATTATTTGCAATAATAATGTTTAGGAGCAACAATTTAAATTTATTAACAGTGTGCTTTTTCTCGATTAAAACATGACGCTGCAGATTCCTTTCTTTATGAGAAAAAACTTGGATAGTTCTAGTCAAAATTCCAACTCCTAGAATTTTTAAATTGTAAAAATAATGAACCAGTGGTCACAACCGTAATCATACATACGATTTAAACTCTCTATTCAAGTTGATGAAAAGTAAAATGAACTTCTTTTGATTACATAATCGACCAGAGTCGGTTTTTCACGCATGAACTTTGCAATTAGCGACATAAAAAGATTCTATTCAAAATTTCAGGTAAAAATTTCGAACCTCACATGAATGAAATGAACCTTCACTCTGTATAAAAACAATCAGACGATCTTTTCCTCCTACTTTATTTTGTTTTGGTAAATACTCGCAATCTAAAGTCGAGTCTTGTACGTCCTCTAAAGGTTAAAGAGTCCAGTTTTGGAAATCGATTGTAGCTTTTTGCTTCAGTGACTGACCAAAATGCGATGACAAAAACGGGCCTATTAATACAGCAACATTTGTTCGACGGTTCTTTGGGCTTGTTTCTTTATTTGTTGAATGACAAACAATACAGTTTAGCATTTCAGATAGAACTGAGAATGATTTTCGCTTAATTTTTTATCGTTAATTGCATTTTTGGCAAGGATATTGACATCTGCTCTTGTGAACGGACTCGGTTCAAGGCGGGAAACATCTCCATTTCGATATTAGAACGTCGATGGATACATTTTAGAAGCCGAGTATTGTTGGTTGTCTATTTGCATAATAAGCAATTTTTAAAGGGAACAAATTAAATGCACAATACTTTATTTAAACAAGTATTTTTTATCAGTAAAAATAATAAATGCACAGTAAAGGCAATGATAAATGTCTAGAAAAGGTAATTAATTCAATATTCACACATTTACAAACAAAATGTTTCCGAGCAAAATCGAAATGTCACAAAGCGTTCAAAAACAAAATTGTGGTATTAGGAGCACAGCAGTGCAAAGAGTGGACACTGATTAACTGATTACCATTTGTACACAGTTTCCAACCCTTGCTAAAATCATTCTTGCGCAGGGGCCCTTGCTAATACATATCTTACTCTCCAATAATAATAATAAATATTCAGTAATATAAAAATAAGTACCAAAAATAAATAACATTCTTGTGCAGGGGCCATACATTGTTATATAACCAAGACTGAAAATTCTTTAAATTTCATGTTGTTTTACTAATTTTGATTAAAGTTACTGAGCGTTTATTAATTTTACTGTGCAAATTGGATTTTTTTACGGAACAAATTACACTAAAATACTGTGCGTGCTTTTCTTAGCATTTATTATTTTTACTGTGCAAAATATTATATTATGCTGATCATTTTTAATTTTTTACTGTGCAAAAATTAATTAAATACTGATCATTTATCATTTTATACTGATCAAAATTAAATTATTTACTGATCGCTTTATTACTCGACTGTTGGGAGGTAAATAACTCAAAAACGTATCAATATTTTTCTATATCGAATAAAAAAACAAATTTTTATTTATTATTTTTTAATAGCCTTTTTAATTTTTATTATAATAAAAATGTGTTTAATTAGTTGGAATGCTTAAGGACAGCAATATCTTGCAACAATTTGGGGAGTATTTAGAAAAAATCATAAAGTACTAAGTACAAGTGTAATTAGAACACACTAAAAATATGAAAATTTGTTTGAAAGAAAGGTTTCCTGTCGAAAGTAAAATAAAAAAAAAATGTAACAGCAAAAATAAAGTTCAAACAGATGAAGATTATTTGTCGATCATAACAGCGATATTTACTATTCAGTAACAAAGAAAAATTTTTATTTCAACTTAAAAAAAAACTGCTGAATAGGTTCAAGTGACAAGGGTAAAGTAGCTGAAAATATTTTTAAATTCGAATTTTCGAGGTATATTTTAATGCTGTACAAACTGATTTTATTTTTAGACAGCATATCGAAATTTTCATTTAATGCAAATAATTTAACTCTACAAGAAGCCATTGCAAACAAGAAAATTACCTAAGCACAACAAATACAAAAACAATTATTTATTGCTAAAAAAAGTTTTTATTTTATAATGTGGACACTTTTAGGAATGATAGGTATATAAATATTTTTTGTATACAAAGATAAAGATGATGTGCATAATAAAAGTATACTTTTTGTAAATGTGAAACAATATGTTGTTATTTTTATAACGATTTTATTTTTTAATTTGTGATAAATGGAGTTTTTTATTTATAGAAATTGTTATCTAGTATATTTTTTACAAAACATCTTAATTTTTAAATGTATCAGAAAAAATCTATTTAAAACTAAACATTAAGTAAATAACGAGTAAAAACGAATTCATTTTAGGTAAATAATATAAAAAAATTGAAATATGCTTCTGTGCCATTCAACATTCTATTTTTCTATATCCTAAATTTTCTATGAAACGGTTACCTTTGAATTTTTTTAAATAATCGAAAATATGTGTTCCAACCTAAAATTTTGGCAAAATTTTTATTTTTATTAAATGATTTAAGAATTTTTTAATGTTTTGCTGTGATGTCAACCACCTTGGAAGCTTAATTATGTGTATGATTATAATTATTTTAGAGTTATAGTTTTTTTGACTGCTCTCCACGCTTTATTGAATATTTAAAATTCAAATAATTTCTATAATTGATGAGTTCAAACTTTTCTCGTTTCTAATTTACATAATTAAGTTTATCTCTCATTTCTCAACGGCATTATTAATGTATTAATTCTAAATGTTTATGCTACAATTTTTTGCTCGAGTTCACACACCACAATGTATACTAAATCAATTTATTAAAAAATCATCCTAATTAGCCGTATATAATGCATAATTTATGTCAATACATAAAAATATACATTATAGAATAAAAAATATCGTAAACATTAAAATAATGATGTGTAGCCTTGAGCAAAACTTCGAATTTATAGCACCGTATCGTTTATTAATATGTAAAATATTCATTGAGAAAAAACTCTTGTATGGAAACAAAACCCATTTAAAATGGCAACTAATTGATAAACGTTGCAGTAAAAATGTTTGTAAAAATGCATGATTTATACTCGTAAATGTGTACATACAACGGGGGCAATTAACCTTTATCAAGGCCGTAGAGCCTTTTATCTCCAGTAATTGTACGGTAAATTCTCCTTAACTTGCACAAATGTATGAATATCTGATGATTTATAAACTTGAAGACGAACATGTAATAAGTATAAACACGCTGTAATTTGCCAATTACCACATCAGATTTTGTTTTAATTAAAACACTAATGAAGTCATAAAAAATTAACCAGTTTTCAAATTGTTTTAACACCATCTGCCACTTTGAACAGCTTTTAGAAGAAAATTGCTGAAATAAAGAGGAAACAATAATAATATTGATTATTATTCAAAGACGGTAAATTAAGTAAATTGTCTTTTGTATTGATTGAATGACAAAAATGCATTTACCGTAGAATGGCACAAAGTTCGCTCAGATATTGTTGTTTCAAGCACTGTTGCACAATAGAGGAATTTTTATAGCCGATATAAAACAGAATGAAAATGTTTGTTTTAGTTTATTTATTTCTTATGAATAAATATTATTAGTATCAATACAGGGTGTGTCAGAACTCGCCCCCCAAAGAAGAATTTCAAGTAAGGTAAGATACCAGGAACATGGAAAATATGTTTAAAAAATTCTGTCCAAAAGTTTTGCTATTTTTTTTATGTCTACTTATGATCTTGTATACCTATGTTTTTTATAATCATTTAGTAAAAGTACAAAAATTTTGTCAATAAAAACCACAAATAACATTAAACAGAGTTACAATTTAGGATACATCAGCTTCCTCCTTGTTTCCTCTTCTAATAGCCTGTAGCAAAAAAAATTGGAAAATTATTTTTCCAACAGAAATAGAGTCAAAGTGCAAAACTTAAACTCTCATAACTTCGAAATATATAGAATTTTTTTAACAATTTTTCCATGTTTCTGGTATCTTACCTTACATGCACGAGTTCTGGCACACCAGGGTAAAAAAAGTAGTTTTTTTGCGACTAAAAGTTGATTGATCATTTTTACGAGTTACTACCGAAATTTGTTATCAAAAAGTTTCTAGTGTAAGAATGTTTTTAAATCCGATTATAAAATTGTCGATTTTTTAAGAAAAATTAAAGTAAAAGTAGACTATGTTAAAAACTTTATTATCTTAAAAAAATCAAAAAATTCGGAGTTTCGATAAAAAAGCTCTCATGCTGATCTAATCAAAAAATTTGTAAAACGATAATTAACTTTCCAATTTCCAATAAATAAAACAATATGGGCTATCAGAAAAATGATCGTTGAAGATGAGTTCACACGAGTTTTTCGAAGCCATGGGAACTCATTTCGTCTTGAGCAAATACAAAACGAGTAGTAAATTCAGTTAGAGGTTCGGTGTTAAATACYGTTTTAAAAAAAGTAAACACAGTGGATTGTCAAAAAGTACACAAAGCGAGACGCTTTAAACTCAAGAATAAATACAGTATGTCAAATTGTTATCGCACAAAGTAAAATACAAAACTTGCCTTCGTCTCGGGGCTGGTGGTGGTGTGACTTGCCGCTCATTGAACGAGTATCTTCTATAGTCTTTGCGTTTCTTCTTTTTTGCTTTGCTTTCGCTGTGATAGACGCGGTTTTGGCGCTCAATCGGAGATGTTTTCGATAATTTCGTGTTTAGGTAAATCACACTGAGTTCGCGGAACCACTTCACGATCAAACCGCCCATGAAGTTCGGCCCTGGATCCACATTTGACCTGAAAGTTTTAAATTAAGAAAGAACAAATGTCATTTTTTGTTCTATTATACAGAGCAGTGGCGGCTCGTCAGTGAAAATAGAAGTTAAAAAAATAATTTACTAGAAACTTAAATTATCTTGAATATTTTTGAATCGTAAATTACAATTTTTGTATAATTAAACTTTAATAATTTTTTATTTGTTCAAATGTTCATTTTTTTGCTATAAATAATAGTAAACCTAATAATAATAATAGTGGTGAAGCTTCAGGTGAAGCAAAAAATGTTTTTCCTTTGCAGTTTTGGCATAAAATAAAAGATAAAAAAATTTTCCTCTTGTAAACTCAATCCGGGGACATACTGTATACAGGCTGCGCCAAAACTCGCGCACCAGAGAAAAATTTCAAGTCAAATAAAATTACAGGAACATGAAAAAAATATCGACAAGATTATATCTGTCAAAAGATTTTGACATTTATTTTTTGACATTTGACATTTTTTATGTCTATTTAATGATACTGATGATCTTGTATATGTTTTTTTTACAATTATTTAGTAAAGGTACAAAAATTTTGCCCATAAAAGTCACAAATAACATTGAACAGAGTTACAATTTAGGCTACAGCTTCCCTAATAGCAAAAACTTTGAAAATTATTTTTTCAACAGAAATAGAGTCAAAGTGCAAACTCTAAAACTTCAAAATTTTTATAGATATTTTTTTAAAACATTTTTCTTGTTCTGGTCTTTTTTGTAATTAAGAAAAAAGAAGTCATATATTTTCAACGAAGATAACAATTACCGAGTGACTATAAATAATTGTGTAATAATTTTTCACCTCAAGTTGGTGTCAAATTTAAAATTTTAGTTTGGCAATTTTCACTTTCCAATTCAGACGGCAAACTTTTATTTTTTTGGGCAGTTTTACAGACTGTTTCATTTATTTTACCTTTACGAACGATTCCAGAAAAATAAATTAGACAAAAACATATCTTAATTAAAATTGAAAAAAACTTTTGTCTGTTTTTCATAAAATCGTAATTTTTTTATGGAAAAATGTAAAAAAAGTTATACAACATAGATACTTTTGTATTTTGACAATCAGG